TTTTTCTGGCCACTTTTCCGTAAAGCTCAGCTCTGTGGAGTGTACGGCTTAAAGTGGTCCTATGGACAGATACTCCAATCTCCGCTGTGGAGCTTTACAGCTCCTTCAGGGTTATCTTTGGTCTCTTTGTTGCCTCTCTGATTAACCTTGCCTGGTCCGTGAGTTTTGGTGGGCGGCCCTCTCTTGGCAGGTTTGTTGTGGTGCCATATTATTTCAATTTTTTAATAATGGATTTAATGGTGCTCCGTGGGATGTTCAAAGTTTCTGATATTTTTGGAGAGCTCCTTGGTCTTCAGGTGCCGCTTGCTTGGTGGTGCCCCTTGCTTAGTGGTGTTGCAGACTCTGGGGCCTTTCAGAACAGGTGTATATATACTGAGATCATGTGACAGATCATGTGAGACTTAGATTGCACACAGGGGGACTTTAATAACTTGCTACATTTGCACACACTGTATATATATTTTCTGTTGAATTTAGACCTTATGTTTTGTTTTACCCCATATGTAACTCTGTGTTGTTGTTTTTATCGCTCTGCTTTGCTTTATCTTGGCCAGGTCACAGTTGTAAATGAGAACTTGTTCTCAACTGGCTTACCTGGTTAAACTAATTATGTGACTTCTGAAGGTAATTGGTTGCACCATATCTTATTTAGGGGCTTTATAGCAAAGGGGGTGAATACATATGCATGCACCACTTTTCCGTTATTAATTTTATACGAATTCTTTGAAACAAGTTATTTTTTTCATTTCACTTCACCAATTTGGACTATTTTGTGTATGTCCATTACATGAAATCCAAATAAAAATCCATTTAAATTACAGGTTGTAATGCAACAAAATAGGAAAACGCCAAGGGGGATGAATACTTTTGCAAGGCACTGTACTTATGTAAATAAGGTATTTCTGTTTTTATTTTTAAAACATTTGCAAAAATGTCCAAAAACCTGTTTTCGCTTTGTCATTATGGGGTATCGTGTGTAGATTGTGTAGATTCCTGATGATGATGATTATTTTAAAATATATTTTAGAATAAGGCTGTAACGTAAAAAATTTGGAAATAGTCAAGGGGTCTGAATACTTTCCGAAGGCACTGTAGGTCACAGATAAAAGCTGAATGGCTTTACATTAAGTTTCATGGATCGGAGTGCTTTTGACAAGCAAGCATTTGGAAAGAGAACTTAGGAGAGACTGCACATACTATGAACAAAACTGAATGTATGGGCATTTCTGTCATACTGAAGTTGATGCTGCTTTTGGGTGGTGATACAATTATTAAATATGTGACATCATAGACTCATGAAGTCATAGACTATTTACACTGCAAAAATATAAACGCAACATGCAACAATTTCAACGATTTTACTGAGTTACTGTTCATATAAGGAAATCAGTCAATTGAAATAAACTCATTAGGCCCTAATGGATTTCACATGACTGGGGATACAGATATGCATCTGTTGGTCACAGATACCGTTTAAAAAAAAAGTAGGGGCGTGGATCATTAAACCAGTCAGTATCTGGTGTGACCACTATTTGCATCATGCAGCATGACACATCTCCTTCGCATAGAGTTGATCAGGCTGTGGATTGTGGACTGTTGAATGTTGACCCACTCCTCTTCAATGGCTGTGAGAAGTTGCTGGATATTGGCAGGAACTGGAATACGCTGTCGTACACGTCAATCCAGAGCATCCCAAACATGCTCAAAGGGTGACATGTCTGGTTTGTATACAGGCCATGGAAGAACTGGGACATTTTCAGCTTCCAGGAATTGTGTACAGATCCTTGCGACATGGGGCCGTGCATTATCATGCTGTAACATGAGGTGATGGCGGCAGATGAATGGCATGACAATGGGCCTCAGGATCTCGTCATGGTATCTCTGTGTTCGTTGTCCACAGCTTATGCCTGCCCATACCATAACCCCACCGCCACCATGGGGAACACTGTTCGCAACGTTGACATCAGCAAACCGCACGCTCACATGACGCCATACACGCTGTCTGCCATCTGCCCAGTACAGATGAAACCGGGATTCATCCTTGAAGAGCACTTCTCCAGCGTGCCAGTGGCCGTCGAAGGTGAGTATTTGCCTACTGAAGTTGGTTACGACGCCGAACTGCAGTCAGGTCAAGACCCTGGTGAGGACGACGAGCACACAGATGAGCTTCCCTGAGACGGTTTCTGACAGTTTGTGCAAATATTCTTTGGTTGTGCAAACCCACAGTTTCATCAGTTGTCCGGGTGGCTGGTCTCAGACGATCCTGCTGGTGAAGAAGTCTGATGTGGAGGTCCTGGGCTGGCATGGTTACACGTGGTCTGCGGTTTTGAGGCCAGTTGGACAACTGCCAAATTGTAGAGAAATTAACATTAAATTCTCTGGCAACAGCTCTGGTGGACATTCCTGCAGTCAGCATGCCAATTGCATGCTCCCTCAAAACTTGAGACATCTGTGGCATTATGCTTTGTGACAAAACTGCACATTTTAGATGTCACGGTTTCGGCCGAGGCTGCTCCTCCTCCTGGTTCGGGCAGGCTTCGGCGGTCGTCGTCCCCGGAGTACTAGCTGCCACCGATCTATGTTTCATGTTCGTTTGGTTTTGTCTTGATGTTGTACACCTGTGTCTTGTTAGTCCTCGTTAGTGTCCTATTTAGTTCTCGTTGTGTGTGTTTGTCTTTGTGTGTGATTGCTCTTCTGTTTCGTGTTGGAGCTACGTACTTCCCTCCAGTGTTTTGGAGAGGTTTTTCGCACATGTTAGTGCGCCGTTTGTTTGACGCCTGTGTGCGCCGTTATTTCGCCTTCGGGCTTATTGTGCTTATTTTCTACGTTAATATTGCACTAAAGTCTTTTGGACTGAGCTTCTGCGTCCTGCGCTTGATTCATGCACCACACCCACCTTCAGCACCCCTTGACATTAGAATGATGTTTTAAAATTGAATATTTCTGGGATCTTTTATTTCAGCTCATGAAACATGGGACCAACACTTTACATGTTGCATTTATATTTTTGTTCAGCATACTTTAATGGAGACATTGGACTCAAACAGCATTTGTGTCAGTGTAAATAAATTATAATATTAATCACTGGGAAATGTCCATAACTCTAATCGTTAAAGGAAGTGATTAAGCTGTGGCATTTGTGATGATGAAAAAGGCCATGCAGAGCCTGCAGTGTGTTGGCTTGGCTCTGTGTGACCACAGTCCCATTGAGGTGCTGATTATAAGAGGATTTCTTTATTTTGTTAATGTGATCGAATCAAGAGTGCCCATAGAGTCACGCAATGTGAAGCCATGCCCCATCCATGCCCCCTCCCTTAATGGAAAAGTCCCAAGGGACCTTGGGACATCCCAACTCTGACGTCACCCCATTCAATTTGAAATTTAAAACGGTTAAGGTATTGGTTAGGAAGGGTTTAGTGTAGGGACGTCCCAAGGATCCCAGATAGCACTAACCCTCCTTTAAAGGCGCATTCCAGCTATTTGTGACCTTTTCCTGTTGAAAAACAATGTCCCATGGAAAAATACAGTTTTGAGCAAAATAGTGTTTCAAGGAGTAGACCATTCAAGGAGTTGGTCTGATTGTGCACTCTAATGTAATCAGCCTCCCCCCTGCTTGAGGAACAATAGAGGAGCAATACAGAACAAAAGAGGAAAGGCCCATCCCCCCACTTGTGCCATGTCATGAGGATACCTGGACCACCTATTGAGATGTGCCTTTTGTTAAGTAAATCAGGTGATAAATACATTTTTTTTAACGGTTTTATTGTCACATACACTGGATAGGTGCAGCCATAGTAGTTCAGCACCCCTGGAGCAAAGTAGGGTTGAGTGCTCAAGGGCAAATCAACAGATTTTTTCACCTTGTCAGCTCAGGTATTTGAACCAGCGACCTTTCAGTTACTTGCCCAACACGCTAACCGCTAGGCTACCTGCTGCCCTGAGGCAAATTAGCTAAAATAGAGACTGGAGTAGGACTTTCGAGGTTTCTAAATCTTATTGCTGTCCAGTGGCCTGGAACCCCTGTCTAGACAGAGTTATGTAAAGCTATGTAGACTGCACCTCAGCAGCTCAACCTCAAGGCTCTACCTGGAAGTGATCAATATCTGAACCACAGGACACATTTCACCTGTAGGATGATGGGGGTCAGATAATAAGTCTGGATTAGTTATGAGAGCTGTTGTCTTACTACCGTGTTCCATTCTGGATGGGATGGAAATCAGTCAATGTTCACTACTGATATCATAGAGCCAAGACAAATGCCATGGAAGACAGTTATGAGGAAAGAGTTGCTTATACATTTGGCATCTGCTGTAATCATGTCAAACCTATTGAAACTTTGTCTGATAGAAACAAATAACTAATGACAGCGACTTGTTGTAAGCAACCTATTATTCTACAGCAGGAAGTGTATATCCGATAAAAACTAATACATCACAGCAGCTTGTATATTCCACTCATCCCTACAATTCACACTCCTAAAATGTACTTGTATTTATTAGGGATCCCCATTAGCTGCTGCCAAGGCAGCATCTACTCTTCATGGGGTCCAAACACATTAAAGCACTTACATTACATATAAAACAAAAGATAAAACAGTACATCATATAACATTATTTCACCACTACATATCTACAATACAAAATGTACAATACAAAATGTTAATACCACCATACAACAATATTACAATGTATGCGTGTCTGGACCTTTGTGTGTGTGTCTCTTCACAGTCCCCGCTAGTAGGAAACGCCTAGTATACAGTACATGCTTTATGAATATGTTGACTCTGTGCATTGTTCCACTGCTATGATGAGACATAGGGTGATACATTTCAGCTGAACAGAGCTTGAGAAGGCAAGCCAGCCTGTCTGAATAAATGACATTAGGAAATGGGAGAAACTGTTTCTGGTTGGTGAACTGAAGGAAAGCAACAAAGGTTTACATGAGTGAATATGCAGAGGGGACTGGGTGGTTTGTTTGATTTGTAGCCCCCAGATATGTTAATGGCTGCTCATGGTACACAGTCTTATATAATGAGAAGAGAGAGAAAAAGGAGAAACATAACTGGAGAGAGCGCGAGAGAGAGAGAAAGTGTCACGAGAGAGATGTTGTGAAAGAGAGAGAGAGAGCTCTGTGGTTAAAGTGCTTTAGTGAAAGTGTTGTATGATGCATTAGATTGTTCATATGGACTGAGCTTCTCTCTCTGGCCCAGGCATGGACAACATGGACCGAGGTTTCTTCCGGAAGGTGGACGTGCCAGACCACGCTCATTACATCGTAGCCTGCTTTGTTGTGGTGATCGGAGCGGTGGGGGTCGGTGGGAACGCCCTGGTGATGTACGCCTTCTTCAGGTAGGCCACAGTACCTGAGGGAAGATTACCTGTTGGAGAAGAGAGGACAAGTGTTTCTAGCTTGGGTACAAGTCTGTTTATGCTCTCTTGCAGATCTGCACCCAGGCTGATGTGTTTCTGTTTTTTCCCCTCAAAACCAGTTTTTTTTTTATTCAACAAAGTAATTTCTAAGTGTTTGCAGAAGAGATTTGTCCATGCAGGGTATTTGGATTTTTGAAGAACAGGCATGCCTCACATTTCAACTACATCTTCTATTTCCCAGATTTTCACACCCTTTGGTTTCAGCTCTGTGATTTGTCCTCATCTGCCTGCTCTTTACAGAATCCTATCCTTTCAAATTCCTAAAAACTGTTTGTGTTCAGGTCTTCGGTAATGGTGTAGTCACTATTCATAAATCATTGTCCCTGGTTCATCATTGGCCAGCTGAGAGAAAGTGAACCTCAAAGGTTGCAGCAGGATGACGTGTTTGATTGAACAATGAAGAGTGGTGTGATCTTGAGCGTCATGTGTTTTGACATGGTACTGTTCTGACACTAAGACTTATTTTCGACGGTGCTCGAAGCGACAGAGTGAGGCTTGCTAATGCTGGGTGACAGACGGAAGTCATGCATTGTCCGGCTGGCTGGCCTGGCGTGGTGGTGACACATCACTGATTTACTTTTAGTTCACGTTGAACAACAAACTGGAGCTCTCAGATATAGAACTAATGAATGGCATGCCAAACATACAGCTGTCTATTTTACATGTAATTCACCAAAATAAAAATAAACAAATAATAGGAGTTATGTGGCTGGGTGTTTCAACTATTGAGTTCTCGAGGACCACCGTGTATTTTGGTTCTTATCCCTACTCTCAAATCATGAAGTGTTTCATAGTTGGAGAGAAGACATTCCTCTAGACACTGTGACCCTTCATAGACCCCGTTCATGGAAGGCATTAGAGAAATCTACTATACATATTGTACCATTCAGTCAAAGTAGCAAAGGTGCAGGAAGATTAGAGACCACAGTGAAGAAGAAAGTCTCTGCTAATTTCAGTAATTTCATGTTCTTAACTTTCGGTCATAGCAAACCTTTGACAGAGCTGATGTAGTAGCTAGGTCTACTACTGCTTTGACCGAAAACAATGCACATTAAATTACTGATCTAAGAGCACAGAGACATTTTCTCTTCCACTAAGGCATGACATACCTATGATAGTTGATTTGATTTGGATTTGTTTTGTTATTGTCATATGCACAGGCTACCTACTTATTTGAATGCTTGAAAATGTGTGATCCAATTCATTTTGTTCACAGTTCTACAGCGATATCCCATTCTAACATGTGTTTAATTTCTACCTGAGCAAAGAGCTTTGATTTTATTTTATTTCGGATCCCCATTAGCCCCATTGGCGACATCTAGTCTTACTGGGGTCTGACACATAACGAAAAAATACTTTACATGTTAATATTTTTAAATGTATGTAAATTGTAGACATTCCAAACTTGAACTGTATAAAGTGCTTATGTAAATAAGGTATTTTTTTGTTTTAATACATTTTCAAAAATGTCTAAAAACCTGTTTTTGCTTTGTCATTATGGGGTATTGTGTGCAGATTGATGAGGAAAACATTTAATTTGATCCATTTTAGAAAAAAGGCTGTAACGTAACAAAATGTTGAAAAGGTCAAGGGGTCTGAATACTTTCCGAATGCACTGTATATATATTTAACAAATTACGTCAACGGATTATAGAGGTCCTGGGCTGGTGTGGTTATACGTGGTCTGCGGTTCTGAGGCTGGTTGGATGTACTGCCAAATTCTCTAAAACGACGTTGGAGGCAGTTTATGGTAGAGAAATGAACATTATGCTCTCTGGCAACAGCTCTAGTGGACATTCCTGCAGTCAGCATGCCAATTGCACGCTCCCTCAAAACTTTAGACATCTGTGGAATTGTGACAAAATTGCACGTCCAGAGGCAGCAAAGCATCCCCAAACCATCACACCACCACCACCATGCTTGACCTTTGGTATGATGTTCTTACTGTGGAATGAAGTGTTTGGTTTTCGCCAGGCATAATGGGACCCATCTCGTCCAAAAAGTTGACTCAAGTTTGCCAAAAAGCACCTGGATGATCATCAAGACTCTTGGAAGAACGTTCTATGGACAGATGATTCAAAAGTATAACTTTTTGGACGACATGGTTCTAGTAATGTCTGGCGAAAACCAAACTGCATTCCACAGTAAGAACATCATACCAAAGGTCAAGCATGGTGGTGGTGGTGTGATGGTTTGGGCATGCTTTGCTGCCTCAGGACCTGGACGACTTGCCTTAATAGAAGGAACCATGAATTCTGCTCTGTATCAGAGAATTCTACAGGAGAATGTCAGACCATCCGTCTGTGAGCTGAAGCTGAAGCGCAGCTGGGTCATGCAGCAAGACAATGATCCAAAACACACAATCAAGTCTACATGAAAATTGCTAAAAAGCAACAAATTGGAAGTTTTGGAATGGCCTAGTCAAAGTCCAGACCTAATCCCAATTGAGATGTTGTGGCAGGACTTGAAACGAGCAGTTCATGCTTGAAAACCCACACGTAAAGCAGTTCTGCATGGAAGAGTGGACCAAAATTCCTCCACAGCGACGTGAGAGACTGATCAACAACTACAGGAAGTATTTGGTTGGAGTCATTGCAGCTAAAGGTTGCACAACCAGTTATTGAGTGTAAGGGGCAATTACTTTTTCACACAGGGGAATTGGGTGTTGCATAACTTTGTTTATGAAATAAATGAAATAAATATGTAATTGTTGTGTTATTTGTTCACTTATGTTCCCTTTATCTAATATTAGGTTTTGGTTGAAGATCTGATTGTCACGTTCGTTGAGTACAGGATTGGACCAAGGTGCAGCGTGGTATGCATACATGTTCGTTTATTAAATAAACACTGAACAAAACAACAAGAGCAACATAACGTGAAGTTCTAAAGGCTAACATCAAACAAGCCAAACACACAGAAACAAGATCCCACAACATAGGTAGGCAACATGGCTGCCTAAGTATGATCCCCAATCAGAGACAACGATCGACAGCTGCCTCTGATTGGGAACCACACCCGGCCAAAATAGATCTACAATATCTAGAATCTTACACATAGAAATTCACACCCTGACCAAACCAACTAAAGAAAACCGGGCTCTCAATACCATTGCGTGACACTGATAACATTCAGTATCACAAATATGCAAAAGTAGAGAAAATTAGAAAGGGGGCAAATACTTTTTCATAGCACTGTATATACACACTGAGTATACAAAACATTAAGAACACCTGCTCTTTCCATGACATAGACTGACCAGGTGAATCCAGGTGAAAGCTATGATCCCTTATTGATGTCACTTGTTAAATCCACTTCAATCAGTGTAGATGAAGGGGAGGAGAAGTTAAAGAAGGATTTTTAAGCCTTGGACATGGAACGCTTTGACACCTTGTAGAGCCCATGCCCAAACGAATTGAGGCTGGTCTGAGGGAAGAAGAGGGGGGTGCAACTCAATATTAGGAAGGCGTTCCTAATGTTTGGTATATTCAGTGTATATAAAACATTAAGAATACCTGCTCTTTCCATTCACATTTCCAGGGGAATCCAGGTGAAAGCTATAATCCGTTATTGACGTCACTTGTTAAATCCACTTCAATCAGTGTAGATGAAGGGGAGGAGACAGGTTAAAGAAGGATTTTTAACCCTTGAGGCAATTGAGACATGGATTGTGTATGTGTGCCATTCAGACAGTGAATGGGCAAGACAAAATTTTTAAGTGCCTTTGTGTGTGTGTGTGTGTGTGTGTGTGTGTGTGTGTGTGTGTGTGTGTGTGTGTGTGTGTGTGTGTGTGTGTGCGCGCGCACGCGTCCATCTATCAGTTATACATACACGTCAGTACATACACATACAAAGTAGGCCACATGGGGGAGAGGTGTTGTGCCGTGAGGTGTTGCTTTATTTGTTTTCTGAATCCAGGTTTGCTGTTCCCTTGCGCTATATGAGATGGAAGAGCTCACTAGGCTGTACATAGCTACAGTTTAGGTCATCTGGTAGGAGCGTGTCTGACGCCGAGCTAGGGGCTTTATTCTGCTAGCTGTCAGTGTGGCTGACTCCACACGGCAGTAGCGCCAGCTGTGGAGACGGCAGAAGAGACTGCCAGGTTCCCTGGGTGTGCTGCTGACATGCTTTGTGCATTAAGAAGATCCTTGACTAATGCTGCGACACAGTACTCCCCTGCAACCATTCAATCTCTGCTGGAGTCACACTTTTTACCATTCACCTCCCCCACACATTGTATAGAAACACAATCCACACACACTGTGTTATAACTATACTATAGAAACACACTGTGGTATAACTATACTATAGAAACACACTGTGGTATAACTATACTATAGAAACACACTGTGGTATAACTATACTATAGAAACACACTGTGGTATAACTATACTATAGAAACACACTGTGGTATAACTATACTATAGAAACACACTGTGGTATAACTACACTATAGAAACACACTGTGGTATAACTATACTATAGAAACACACTGTGGTATAACTATACTATAGAAACACACTGTGGTATAACTATACTAAAGAAACACACTGTGGTATAACTATACTATAGAAACACACTGTGGTATAACTATACTATAGAAACACACTGTGGTATAACTATACTATAGAAACACACTGTGGTATAACTATACTATAGAAACACACTGTGGTATAACTACACTATAGAAACACACTGTGGTATAACTATACTAAAGAAACACACTGTGGTATAACTATACTATAGAAACACACTGTGGTATAACTATACTATAGAAACACACTGTGGTATAACTATACTATAGAAACACACTGTGGTATAACTATACTATAGAAACACACTGTGGTATAACTATACTATAGAAACACACTGTGGTATAACTATACTATAGAAACACACTGTGGTATAACTATACTATAGAAACACACTGTGGTATAACTACACTATAGAAACACACTGTGGTATAACTATACTATAGAAACACACTGTGGTATAACTATACTATAGAAACACACTGTGGTATAACTACACTATAGAAACACACTGTGGTATAACTACACTATAGAAACACACTGTGGTATAACTATACTATAGAAACACACTGTGGTATAACTATACTATAGAAACACACTGTGGTATAACTACACTATAGAAACACACTGTGGTATAACTACACTATAGAAACACACTGTGGTATAACTACACTATAGAAACACACTGTGGTATAACTACACTATAGAAACACACTGTGGTATAACTATACTATAGAAACACACTGTGGTATAACTATACTATAGAAACACACTGTGGTATAACTATACTAAAGAAACACACTGTGGTATAACTATACTATAGAAACACACTGTGGTATAACTATACTATAGAAACACACTGTGGTATAACTATACTATAGAAACACACTGTGGTATAACTATACTATAGAAACACAAGGATGTTTTTTAAACCTAAAAGCAATGGTGGTGATTTAAATGATATCACCTTACACCTGTTTTAGTAATTTTTGTTTTATGATAATATTATCTAATCATCATAATCATCAAAAGTAATAAAATGCTTCAGTACAAGTGCCATCATTACATAACAAATTCCAAACTCAGTGAATTTTGAGCTTGATTAACTTGGACCATATGCTACCCTGTGATGATGTGTGTGTATGTGCAAAGGCAATTATTTACATTTCACATCAAAGGGGAAAGCGAGGGAGGCATCAGCTTTTTAATGCTCACTGACACAGATTTGTCCAGTGTGCAGGAAGAATTGCACACGTTATGTATGACAGCCATCAAAGACAACTGTCTGTGGACAGTGTGTGTAACTCCATATACAGTACTGTATGTTTCTTTTCAATTTACACATTTAAAAGGCCTCCGTGTTTAAAGGGATACTTCGGGATATTAGCATGCTAGTAGATACCCATAGACTTCCAGTCATTGCACTAACACTAGTTAGCATTGGCTCGCGAAACTACATTTAACTTTCTTCATACTGGACACAGAAACATACAATTGTTATCCACAAGTTCATCGGACTGGGGAAAATCCCAAAGTATCCTTTTAAGAATGCGTTTTTGTCATTTCAAAGGGCCGTGAGGTCCTAATCATATGATGTACAGTACCAGTCAAAAGTTTGGACACACCTACTCATTCAAGGGTTTTTCTTTATTTTTACTATTTTCTACATTATAGAATAATATAATATAATAATAGTGAAGACATCAAAACTATGAAATAACACATAATCATGTAGTAACAAAAAAGGTGTTAAAGAAATCAAAATATATTTTATATTTTAGATACTTCAAAGTAGCCACCCTTTGTCTTGATGACAGCTTTGCACACTCTTGGCATTCTCTCAACCAGCTTCACCTGGAACGATTTTCCAACAGTCTTAAAGGAGTTCCCAACTTGTTGGCTGCTTTTCCTTCACTCTGCGGTCCAACTCATCCCACACCATCTCAATTGGGTTGAGGTTGGGTGATTGTGGAGGCCAGGTCATCTGATGCAGCACTCCATCACTCTCCTTCTTGGTCAAATAGCCCTTAGACAGCCTGGAGATGTGTTGGGTCATTGTCCGGTTGAAAAACAAATGATAGTCCCACTAAGCCCAAACCAGATGGGATGGCGTATCGCTGCAGAATGCTGTGGTAGCCATGCTGGTTAAGTGTGCCTTGAATTCTAAATAAATCACCGACAGTGTCACCAGCAAAGCACCCCCACACCATAACACCTCCTCCTCCATGCTTCACGGTGGGAACCGCACATGCGGAGATCATGCGTTCACCTACTCTGCGTCTCACAAAGACACAGTGGTTGGAACCAGAAATCTCAAATTTGGACTCATCAGACCAAAGGACAGATTTCCACCGGTCTAATGTCCTTTGCTCGTGTTTCTTGGCCCAAGCAAGTCTTTTCTTCTTATTGGTGTCCTTTAGTAGTGCTTTCTTTGCAGCAATTCGACCATGAAGGCCTGATTCATGCAGTCTCCTCTGAACAGTTGATGTTGAGATGTGTCTGTTACTTGAACTCTGTGTAGCATTTATTTGGGCAGCAATCTGAGGTGCAGTTATCTCTAATGAACTTATCCTCTGCAGCAGAGGTAACTCTGGGTCTTCCTTTCCTGTGGCGGAAAACCAGTTTCATCGCAAAAGCTTGATGGTTTTTGCGACTGCACTTGAAGAAATGTTCAAAGTTCTTGAAATGTTCCGCATTCACTAACCTTCGTGTCTTAAAGTAATGATGGACTGTTGTTTCTCTTTGCTTATTTCAGCTGTTCTGTTCAGAATATGGATCTTTAGGGTTATCTTCTGTATACCACCCCTACCTTGTCACAACACAACTGATTGGCTCAAGTGCATTAAGAAGAGCATCTATTACCTTCATTACCACCCTCTCCTCCTTGTACTCCTCATCCTCTCTGTTAGTAATGCGTCCTTTGTGTTTAGTTAAGGACCTCAGAGAGATGCCTGGAGACCATTGAAACGATTGCATCACGTCTCCTCTTTGATTTGTGCACATCAAATTGCAGATCCACATGAGTGCATGGCAGCATAGCTTCCTCCTACTGAAGCTGGCAACAACTGCAATGCGCCGCTCTCCACTAATCCAACATGTCACTTCTCTATCTAAACGTTGTTAACATTATTTAGCACAAAACACTCAGAACAGATATCAGGCCATGTTCACAGTGGGAGGCCAGAGGGCAGAGGGCAGAGGGCAGAGGTCACTCACTCACCCATTCACACACTCTCAAGCAAAATATGTGGATTTTTCCATGCCATTGGATATGACTTACTAACTTTGATTGACCCTCTGTATTTGTATTGGGCCGGCCTGTCTGATTTCCCCTGATGCTGTGAGCCAGTCTAGTTTCTTGGAAAACAGGAGGTATTTCTAGGTAGGGGATGACCCCTGCTGCTAGGAGGGATAATGGTGAGTGTATTGACTCTGGGCGAGGCGAGAGTGAGGGATTGGTCTGGTGAGGAGGAGACTGGGGAGGTGGCTGGTTGTCAGCAGGTGATGGCTGATCGCTGAGCATCACTTATGCTGAATTGTGTTTGTGGTAGGATTAATGGGCAACTTTAATCAAAATAACAGTCATGGATGCGTGTAATGATAATTCACCCACTCAGACTCTACATCCTGAATTAGAATGGTTGGCAGAGAGTGAGAAACATTCACTTTAAGGAATTCAGTTCACATAGGGGAGTGGGGTCGGGGAGGTAGTTAGCAAACTGAGTGTGGGGTCATGTTCCAGTGGTTGCACTTTTTGACTAACGTGAAAGTACAGCATCGCATCCTTGCCTTTTGACATTATCTTTATTTCATTACCTGGATAGAAGCTATTCTGTTATAATGCTAAAGCTTTAGTGATAAAGATAAATGTAAATTCTTAAATGAGTAGTAAGCTAATGACAATGAATAGATTTTTTGAAATCATAAAGACTGTATATTTGTTCTGTATTTCAGTAACAAGAAGCTCCGGACTCCTCCCAACTATTTCATCATGAATCTGGCAGTGAGTGACTTCCTCATGGCCATCACACAGTCCCCTATCTTCTTTGTCAACTGTCTCTACAAGGAGTGGGTTTTTGGAGAAACAGGTACTTTTACCTTCATCCCATAAGTTTGGTAAAATACCCACATCAGATCAGTTGTCTTAATGGAAAGCTTCAGCTACTTTGGTCATTTGAGCTTAATTACGCTGTCCATACTGAACAAAAAATACTAATCAAATTAATTCTGTGGAAATTCCATCTCTCTGCATCACTAATTTTCTATCCTCTGAGATTACTCAGATTGTAAGATCTCTAAATGATTTATGTTCAGGCTGTAAGATGTACGCCTTCTGTGGGGCTTTATTTGGGATCACCTCCATGATCAACCTGCTGGCTATCTCCATTGACCGCTATATCGTCATCACCAAGCCCCTACAGGCCCTCCACTGGACCTCTAAACGCCGCACCTCCGTCGTCATCGTCATTGTCTGGCTCTATTCGCTGGCCTGGAGTCTGGCGCCTCTCCTGGGCTGGAGTGAGTTCCCTCCACTTACGCCATCCTTTTGGGTGCCAGTTTTCTGACTGTTTCTGCTGTCTTGCCAACTTCTTAGGGAATTGTCATGCCATGTTTTGCTAGACAATGACACTAATGGAGTTGGCAAGAGCCCAAACAGATCTGGGACCAGACTACCATCCTTTTATCTTATCTCTACAACTCTCTCACTTTCCTATCACTCTTCCTCTTCTCTCTACAGGTGTACTGATACAATAATATCCTCTCTCTTTCTCAAACACTTGATCCCCAACCCTTACTCTGACTGTAACCTTAATCCCAACCCTAACCCTTACCCCAACCGTGACCTGAACCTTAACCCTAACCCCAACACTAATCCTAACCCATTGTCCCTCTCCAGGTTCCTATATCCCTGAGGGCCTGATGACCTCCTGTACGTGGGATTATGTGACCTCCACACCAGCCAATAGGAGCTACACTCTGATGCTATGCGTCTTTGTGTTCTTCATCCCACTTGGCATCATCTCCTACTGCTACCTCTGCATGTTCCTGGCCATACGCACCGCCAGTAGGTAAGCTGATACATTCACACAACCATGCCCCTGTGCAGTGGTGGAAAAAGTACTCAGTTATCATACTTGAGTAAAAATAAAGATACCTTAATAGAAAATGACTCAAGTAAAAGTTAAAGTCACCCAGTAAAATACTACTTGAGTAAAAGTCTAAAAGTATTTGGTTTTAAATACACTTAAGTATCAAAAGTAAATGTAATTGCTAAAATGTTCTTAAGTATAAAAAGTAAAAGTATGAATAATTTAAAATCCCTTATATTAAGCTAACCAGACAACACAATTTTCTTGTTTTATAAATGTACGGATAGCCAGGGGCACACTCCAACACTCAGACATCATTTGCAAATGAAGCGTTTGTGTTTAGTGAGTCCGCCAGATCAGAGGCAGTAGGGATGACAAGGGTTGTTCTCTTGATAAGTGTGTGAATTGGACCATTTTCTGTCCTGCTAAGCATTCAAAATGTAATGAGTACCACCTGGTCGTGCTGCTGCTCCAGTTTAAACTGTTCTGCCTGCGGCTAGGGAACCCTGACCTGTTCACCGGATGTGCTACCTTGTCCCGGACCTGCTGTTTTCAACTCTCTCTCTCTCTACCACACCTGCTGTCTCGACCTCTGAATGCTTGGCTATGAAAAGCCAACTGACATTTACTCCTGAGGTACTGACCTGTTGCACCCTCTACAACCACTGATTATTATTTGACCCTGCTGGTCATCTATGAACGTTTGAACATCTTGAAGAACAATCTGGCCTTAATGGCCATGTACTCTTATAATCTCCAACCGGCACAGCCAGGAAAAGACTGGCCACCCCTCAGAGCCTGGTTCCTCTCTAGGTTTCTTCCTAGGTTCCTGCCTTTCTAGGGAGTTTTTCCTAGCCACCGTGCTCCTACATCTGCATTGCTTGCTGTCTGGGGTTTTAGGCTGGGTTTCTGTATAGCACTTTGTGACATCTGCTGATGTAAAAAGGGCTTTATAAATACATTTGATTGATTGATTGATTTTGGGTGTCAGGGAAAATGTATGGAGTAAAAAGTACATTATTTATTTTCTTTAGGAATGTAGTGAAGTAAAAGTAAAGGTTGTCAAAAATATAAATAGTAACGTAAAGTTACTTAAGCACACATCCAGATGATGGGGCCCTCTGTTTGTCTGTCTTCCTCTGACATCTCCTTCATCTACTCTCCGATGCCCACAGAGACATGGAGAAGCTGGGCAGTCAGGTGAGGAAGTCCACCCTCATCCAGCAGCAGTCCATCAAGACAGAGTGGAAGCTGGCCAAGATCGCCTTTGTGGTCATCATCGTCTATGTGATGTCCTGGTCTCCCTACGCCTGCGTCACCCTCATCGCCTGGGCTGGGTAACTATCGAGTTTTGAATGGGGTTCAGGTCCCATATTCATAAAGCGTCTCAGTAGGAGTGCTGATCTAGGATACGTTTAGCCTCTTTCTAGATAATTATGAATAAGATGACATGGACATGGGGGATCTGATCCTTGATCAGCACTCGTACTCTGAAAAGCTTTATGAATTACGGGCCACGATCTACACTACATGGCCAAAAGTATGTTCACACCTGCACATCGAACATCTCATTCCAAATTCATGGGCATTAATATGGAGTTGGTCCCCCCTTTACTGCTATAACAGCCTCCACTCTTCTGGGAAGGCTTTTCACTAGATGTTGGAACATTGCTGCGGGGACTTGCTTCCATTCAGCAACAAGAGCATTGGTGAGATCGAGTACTGATATTGGGCTATTAGGCCTGGCTCGCAGTCGGCGTTCCAATTCATCCCAAAGGTGTTCGATGGGGCTCTGTGCAGGCCAGTCAAGTTCTTCCACACCAATCTCTAAAAACAATTTCTGTATGGACCTCGCGTTTTGCACAGGGGCATTGTTATGCTGAAACAGGAAAGGGCCTTCCTCAAACTGTTGCCACAATGTTGGAAGCACAGAATCGTCTAGAATGTCATTGTATGCTGTAGCATTAAGATTTCCCTTCACTGGAACTAAGTGGCCTAGCCCGATCCATGAAAAACAGCCCCAGACCATTATTCCTCCTCCACCAAACTTTACAGTTGGCACTATGCATTCGGGCAGGTAGCGTTCTCCTGGCATCCGCCAAACTCAGATTCGTCCGTCGGACTGCCAGATGGTGAAGCATGATTCATCACTCCAGAGAACGCATTTCCACTGCTCCAGAGTCCAATGGTGGCGAGCTTTACACCACTCCAGCCGAAACTTGGTATTGCGCATGGTGACCTTAGGCTTGTGTGCGGCTGCTCGGCCATGGAAACCCATTTCATGAAGCTCCCGACGTACAGTTCTTGTGCTGACGTTGCTTCCAGAGGCAATTTGGAACTCGGTAGTGAGTGTTGCAACAGAGGACAGATGATTTTTACGCGCTTCAGCACTCGCCGGTCCCGTTCTGTGAGCTTGTGTGGCCTACCACTTTGCGACTGAGCCATTGTTGCTCCTAGACATTTCCACTTCACAATACCAGCACTTACATTTGACAGGGACAGCTCTATCAGGGCAGAAATTTGACAAACTGTCTTGTTGAAAGTCACTGAGCTCTTTAGTAAGGCCACTCTACTGCCAGTGTTTGTCTATGGAGATTGCATGGCTGTGTGCTCGATTTTATACACCTGTTAGCAACGGGTGTGGCTGAAAAGCCGAATCCACTAATTTGAAGGGGTGTCCATATACTTTTGTGTAGTGTACTTGTTGAGTCTCTTAGGCAATGATTATAGTTAGAAGGCGCATGTGATCTGGGTATGAAAGATCAGGAGTCATGAATAGGGGTTTTATCTGACTGTGTTGATACAGATATGAAGCTGAGAATTGTTGTTGCTGCAGAACTTTGGGGTAATGCAGAAGAATTGGTGATACATTCTCTCCGAATCGCACTCCAAATCCTCAGAGTAAGGCTGGGATTGGTTCGGAATGGCAGGCACGTCTGTCGAAGAGGTGAGAGTCTGAGACAGACGGTTTTGGGAGTTTAGAAACGCTGTCAGGGTCAGAGACTGTTTGAAACAGATGTTTTTTAGAGTTGTGTATGGGGAGCATCCTGTATGTACTGCAGCAGTTTAGGCATGCGTGTACTGTTCAGGCCTTGCTCACACCTCCAGGAGAGTGGATGTTAAGAGATGGAGTGCAGTCTGTCGGAGAGAAAGGGATTATCAAGCGAATGATTCCTCCTGCTCACTCCATCTTTGGGCCACTGCCGAGCCATACAAACAGGCTGCACCTAGGCAGGCAGTGCAAACAGACTGACCAAGGCACAGACAGGCAGGGACTGGCCAACGCATGACTGACCATCCACAGACATACTGTACACACACATACAGTTAAGACTACAATCGTATTGTTAGAGGGTGGAAGCAGAGCAGAATGGCATACTGTCAGTAAAACCTGAGGGGTACAGATTACTTTACATACCTGTGAGGCTTGTAGTGTCCTATTCATGTTATCTCTCCTATCAGCTATGGAAGTGCCCTCAGTCCCTATTCCAAGGCCGTCCCTGCTGTCATTGCCAAAGCCTCAGCCATCTATAACCCTTTCATCTATGCCATCATCCACTCTAAGTACAGGTGAGTACAGTCATTTCAATGTCTTCCTCCACTAGGGCACAACTCAAAACACCTTGGGAGAATCTCAGTTTCATACTCCTCACGTCTTTTCTCCTCTCTCCTCGCCTCCTTCTCAAAACCCATTGGAGGAGAAGGTCAGAGGGGAGGGACCTCTAGCTTTCTCATCCATTGGGTTTTGAGAAGGATGCGAGGAGAGAGGACGCAAGGAGTACGCAGTCGAGATTCTCCCCCTAGGTATGTACTGTCCTAACCTGTCATGACCTAAGGTTTGTTTTGGAAAGTTGCCCCCAGGGCTCCTTTGGTGTGATTGGGCTTGGCCGTCCAGATGAGACTCCTTTAACAACTGACTTGTTAACTTACAACTGGCTTAGGTAATGATGACAATAAGGAGGGTTTGGTTTCTGCATGCTCCTTCACCACTCTCCTTTCCTTTCTCCTTTGTTGACTCTCCCATACAGAGACACTCTGGCAGAGAAGGTTCCCTGTCTGCACTTCCTGGCCCAGCCCCCCAGGAAGGGCTGTATCTCGGTGTCCAACAGCGAGTCCTCCTTCAGGGACCCTATGCTCAGTAGACAGTCCTCCACCTCCAAGACCAAGTTCCATAAAGTGTCCTCTGTGTTCACCGGAGACACAGTGAGTTGGTGTGGGTAGGGGTAGATAGATGCTGCACGATATAACAAGAATAGTTGTCTCACGTTGCCAGGCACACACAAAGACTGGAGTTAAGGCTACATGAAAATAAATGTTCAAACGCAGCAATGCACTGCTTTGTTGTACTACAATCCATTATGTTGTATGTATGTTTCTGAGAAAATTCATAAATATGTTGCCCACAAAAAAGAAAAACACAGCAGTGCAGTACAGTTTACTGAACATGTAATCTGGACAAAACCATCAAGTGTGTGAGGTCTTTTAACTATGTCACTATGTAAACGGCAAGGTGGCTGGCCCTTGAGGAAGGCACTTCACCCTAATTTTCTCCAGGGGAGCTGTACTACTATGGCTGACCCTGTAAAACAACACATTTCACTGCACCTATCTGGTGTATGTGACAATATCTATATCTATCTATATATATATATATATATATATATATAGATGTTTATATGTTTTACTGTCACATACACCAGATAGCTGCAGTGAAATGTGTTGTTTTACAGGATTCGCCTATATATACAGTGGGGAGAACAAGTATTTGATACACTGCCGATTTTGCAGGTTTTCCTACTTACAAAGCATGTAGAGGTCTGTAATTTTTTGTCATAGGTACACTTCAACTGCGAGAGACGGAATCTAAAACAAAAATCCAGAAAATCACATTGTATGATTTTTAAGTAATTAATTTGCATTTTATTGCATGACATAAGTATTTGATACATCAGAAAAGCAGAACTTAATATTTGGTACAGAAACCTTTGTTTGAAATTACAGAGATCATACGTTTCCTGTAGGTCTTGACCAGGTTTGCACACACTGCAGCAGGGATTTTGGCCCACTCCTCCATACAGACCTTCTCCAGATCCTTCAGGTTTCGGGGCTGTCGCTGGGCAATACGGACTTTCAGCTCCCTCCAAAGATTTTCTATTAGGTTCAGGTCTGGAGACTGGCTAGGCCACTCCAGGACCTTGAGATGCTTCTTACGGAGCCACTTCTTAGTTGCCCTGGCTGTGAGTTTCGGGTCGTTGTCATGCTGGAAGACCCAGCCACGACCCATCTTCAATGCTCTTACTGAGGGAAGGAGGTTGTTGACCAAGATCTCGCGATACATGGCCCCATCCATCCTCCCCTCAATACGGTGCAGTCGTCCTGTCCCCTTTGCAGAAAAGCATCCCCAAAGAATGATGTTTCCACCTCCATGCTTCACGGTTGGGATGGTGTTCTTGGGGTTGTACTCATCCTTCTTCTTCCTCCAAACACGGCGAGTGGAGTTTAGACCATAAAGCTCTATTTTTGTCTCATCAGACCACATGACCTTCTCCCATTCCTCCTCTGGATCATCCAGATGGTCATTGGCAAACTTCAGACGGGCCTGGACATGCGCTGGCTTGAGCAGGGGGACCTTGCGTGCGCTGCAGGATTTTAATCCATGACGGCGTAGTGTGTTACTAATGGTTTTCTTTGAGACTGTGGTCCCAGCTCTCTTCGGGTCATTGACCAGGTCCTGCCGTGTAGTTCTGGGCTGATCCCTCACCTTCCTCATGATCATTGATGCCCCACGAGGTGAGATCTTGCATGGAGCTGCAGACCGAGGGTGATTGACCGTCATCTTGAACCACTTCCATTTTCTAATAATTGCGCCAACAGTTGTTGCCTTCTCACCAAGCTGCTTGCCTATTGTCCTGTAGCCCATCCCAGCCTTGTGCAGGTCTACAATGTTATCCCTTACACAGATCTCTGGTCTTGGTCATTGTGGAGAGGTTGGAGTCTGTTTGATTGAGTGTGTGGACAGGTGTCTTTTATACAGGTAACGAGTTCAAACAGGTGCAGTTAATACAGGTAATGAGTGGAGAACAGGAGAGCTTCTTAAAGAAAAACTAACAGGTCTGTGAGAGCCGGAATTCTTACTGGTTGGTAGGTTATCAAATACTTATGTCATGCAATAAAATGCAAATTAATTACTTAAAAATCATACAATGTGATTTTCTGGATTTTTGTTTTAGATTCCGTCTCTCACAGTTGAAGTGTACCTATGATAAAAATTTCAGACCTCTACATGCTTTGTAAGTAGGAAAACCTGCAAAATCGGCAGTGTATCAAATACTTGTTCTCCCCACTGTATATATATATATATATACTACCAGTCAAAAGTTTGGACACACCTACTTATTCAAGGGTTTTTCTTTATTTTGTAAAAAAAAAATTACATTGTAGAATAATAGTGAAGACATCAAAACGATGAAATAACACATATGGAATCATGTAGTAAACAAAAAAGTGTTAAACAAATCTAAATATATTTTATATTTGAGATTCTTCAAATAGTCACCCTTTGTCTTGATGACAGCTTTGCACACTCTTGGCTTTCTCTCAACCAGCTTCACCTGGAATGCTTTTCCAACAGTTTTGAAGGAGTTCCCACATATGCTGAGCACTTGTTGGCTGCTTTTCTTTCACTCTGCGGCCCTACTCATCCCAAACCATCTCAATTGGGTTGAGGTCAGGGGATTGCGGAGGCCAGGTCATCTGATGCAGCACTCCATCACTCTCCTTCTTGGGAAAATAGCCCTTACACAGCCTGGCGGTGTGTTGGGTCATTGTCCTGTTGAAAAACATATGATAGTCCCACTAAGCCCAAACCAGATGGGATGGCGTATCGCTGTAGAATGCTATGGTAGCCTTACTGGTTAAGTGTGAGAATTTTGCATTGTTTCACACCTGAAACAGCTTTTTCCTGCAATCTATAGCCATAATCATTATGTTTAATGTCAAAATTATGTATTCTTTCTGCATATCTAAGCATACCTCTTGAGCTGTCTGTATCCTCCTGACTGGTGGTTCTTTTTTTAAAGAAACTAAATATGCTTCTCTGCATCTCTGCTAAAATCTGGGTAAAAGATTGAAAGAAATGTGAGTCTTATTTAGTTGTTGCTTGCTTTTCTAAAGTCTACCAACCTTGCCACCAGGCATGCCAGCTAAGATAGTTAGACAAGGTAGCTAGTCTAACTTGGTTGGTAGCCTGAAATGGCTTCTAGGTAGCCAGTTATGAGGTTGGGAGATTGGGAACCTATCTGAGCTAGCTAAAGCCAACTTCATAAAATGTCTAGGTGGCTAGTAGTATTACAGAGAAAAAACAAAACAAACATTTTTATTTTTTATTTTTTTATTTTTTATAAACAGGACAAATCTGAGGGGGTACGTGCCCCCTATGGGCATAACACACAATAACTTGACTATGTGTTTACATGCTGGTTAGAGCTCAGCTGCTGAGTGAGGACAAAGACTAAAAACCTTTCTGGGGCTGAGACACAAACTGCCTGACACATCCCAGGGCTCTTTACTAACTGGCTATCACACACAGGCATCCAGCAGCACACCAATAACTTGACTATGTGTGTACATGCTAGTTAGAGCTCAGCTGCTGAGTGACCAGCGGCTATTGGTCTGATGATCTCTCTATGGGGGTTCTGTGTGTTTGGTGTGCGGTGCCCATGGGGAGAGGTCTGTTGGGGAAACAGGTGTCCCCTGTTATATAGGCATACTTTCTTGAAACGGAATGTACAGCTATATTACATATACTGACCAGTGGCTGACTTGGACATGGCTGACTTGGACCTGGCTGACTTAGCTGACTTGGACCTGGCTGACTTGGACCTGGCTGACTTAGCTGACTTGGACCTGGCTGACTTGGACCTGGCTGACTTGGACCTGTGTTGTGTGTAACTTTCACAGCAGGTGTGGAGTGACGTGGAGCTGGACCCCTTGGACCAGCAGAGCCAGTCTCTGAGAATCAGCCACTCCTCTGGAGCTCTGAGAGTGAAGGAGTGCAGACAGTCAGCCCAGCAGCAGGCAGGAAAAGGTAAGGTACGTGTTCAAGACAGGAGTGAGTGGGTGGGTAGAGCCTTGCACTGTTTCTGTGGCCAACAGTCACTTAAACACACGTCTTAGGCGCTGTAAATGCTATTCTGAAAATGATACGAACCTGTCGGGCTGACAGCAGAATTAGAAAATAAAACAACAGCTGGTGCCTGATGTACTCAGGTGCACAGGTGCTTCTAAAATGTTCAGAAAACATAATTATTTTCAACAATTTTAAACGCAATTTGCAATCATTTGCAATGGAACAGACAGAGTTCTTCAAAATGTAGTTGAGAAGTTACCATTTGAAAAACATCCAAATATTAGCTAATTAAAAATGATGACGATGGTAAAAATGTAAGTCACGCCCCATTTATTTGGTGCTCTAATAGTCTTTGTCCCCCTTAGGCTACTGTCCCCGAGAGGGGCTCACTGAGCAGCTGTGACCACGACCTGGTGTCTGAATCTATGACCAGGGAGGAGGCTGGGGAGGGGTGGCAGGAGGAGGAGGGAGCGGAGGAGGAGGAGAAGACCCAGGAGAGAGCCCCCCAGTTAGCTCAGGAGGAGGTGGAGGAGCTCCCCCCCGCCCTACCACCAGCCTCACCCCCCAGGACCCCCAGGACCCTGAACAACAAACACAGAGACTCTGAGGTTCCACACATCATCATCAGCCCCCCGTCAGAGACGATGGGAACTATAAGGGGGAGGAGCATGGAGCACAGACCCGTGAGGAGAACATGCTACTGGGCCTGCAGAGCTTAAACTGCTCCACTGAACTGCTGGAGTTGATGGAAAAGTTCCTCTCCTGAAACCCCCCTGGGGAGTCTGTCTGAAGGCTTTGTTGTATGCATAATGTGTGGATGACAATGTGGTACTGTCACAATACTGTACAATACAAACAATATAGAGCAAGTGAGGATTGTCATGGTCCAAGGAGGTTATACTTATGTTAAATACAATCAGCTGTAAACACAATCAGCTAATCACTACTGTTCTCCAGTCGCAACTCTCTGTGTGTGGCCAGCCAATCAGCTGGTCTTTGTGTGTAGCCAATCAGCTTCTAATGTTTTCACAACTGTCAGAGGATGTGTAATCTATTGTATGATCTTGACACACTTCTGTCCAGTGTTTGTCTTATGTATGGCCTTATGTTTTATGACAAACAAATATCTAATGACAAACAATAATTTGGTCTCCTACAGCAGGCTACTGAGTAGATTGTCCTATACCTGCTTTAAGGTCTGAGTAGAATCTACCATCACTGCACAAGGACGTAAGGACACTGTAAAGACTGGGATGGACTTGTTTTTTAGTGATCAACCCAGAGTGTCGAAGGATCTTTCTGAAAGTGCGCATTCTAAAACCAAGAAGCACATAAGTAGATGACCAACTGATTCACCAGAAATCAATCAGCCAAAAGGTCCACTTGATTCAAACCAAATGATGCAGCCCAATCCAAATCATCTAGACTAGAGAGAGTTAGACAGGCTCAAGCACTGTTACTATACATACGGTACACTTTCCTTAGGGTGAAACTTCATGTAAAGGAGGAGTATAGAAAATGTAGTAATTTCCTATGATTTAGCCTTTGGAAACAAAATCAAATAATTATTGAAATGTTTAGAGTGTATTTTGTGCGTGACTGAACAATGTTTGATTACCACTTGTTTTTTCAGCTGTCTACTATAGGGTTTGTAAACACCATGGACTGTGGAGCATTTCTTTATTATCTGTCACAAGTACTGTATGTTCTGTTGTATGTGCACATGTATTTCCTGAAGGTACCAGATTCCTATTAAATGATGGGTTTATACTATATGTGGCTTTGAGAAGACGGGTCAGGGTTTCTATATCAAACCCTGAATAACCCTGATCGAACCTAAAGTAATATTTTGGAAGGGAACTCAAGGCCAGAGTGATATTTGTTTAGGTGTCTTTACCTATGGGATATGTGTTATTTTAGATGAAGCAATACTTTTACTGCATAAACTCAAATTGCACACGTGTCTGTTTACTTGAAATTCATTCAGGTATATGGTACACATAAGACCTACCAGTTTGAGGCATGATAAAATGAAGTAGTTATAGTAATGGAATTGCTTCACCCTTTCTCAACCAAATTCTCTTTAAACTTTTTGCTCCAGAAATTCCCGAGTACTTTACAGCTTATACAGTTATATAATTGTATGAGAGCTTCCCATCATGGACGACTTCTGCAGATCAATAATTCCAGATTAGGCACGAAGGCATCTGAATGAGAAGCTCAACCTCGTCATGCAGCAGAATGCAAGACCCTATCTGACCTCAGTTGACTCAAAGAGCTTAAGGGAGGTCCACCATACAACATGCTTTTCTCACATGTTTATTTGTGTGTGTGTGTGTGTGTGTGTGTGTGTGTTTACGTGTGTGTGTGTGTTTACGTGCGTGTGTGTGTTTACGTGCGTGTGTACTGTCTGTCTGTCTGTCTGTCAGAGGTGTTGAATGTGTGACATTGTGTCAAGGCTTGGCGACATGATGCTGCCTTTCCCCCTGACACAACTAGTTAGTGGTAATTTCTTTATGTAGCCTGACAGGTATCTAAAGCTATATGAGATTAACATCTTGTGCAGTAATGGGTTGTGATGTTTTCAATCATTTTCAATTCCCACATTGGTTTGAGTGTTATGTTAGCTGATCTTGGAAAATGTATAAGCTTTTGTGGTGGTAGAAATTGACCATTGACTAGGTTTAAAGACAGCAGTGCTCCCTGTTATGCTTAGTTAGTTCAGTTCATTCAAGCAGGCATTCAGTGGCATAGACCCACCTATTCCTTGAATCATGTTCGATAAACGTGAATCACTGTTGAGCAACATCGATTAAATGTCGAGTTGTGTGCTCACTGATCATTTCTCATCTTCAGGATTGAGCAGAATTATCTACACTTTTCCTGGAACAGCTGTTATGATGCTAATGCAGCTCTACCATAGAAATGATGTAACACCTACAGTGCATTTTATTTTCAGGTATTTCTGTATAATGTAAGTGTGCCTGTTGCTACTCTCTGTCCAGATGTTTAATGGGGGTACAGAGTGATGGTTATGAGGGTATATGGCTCTCTTTGCCAGCAAAGAAATGTACATTTGGATGTCTTCATGAGGTTGAACTATAAATCAATCCATTGCATTTTTGTGTGTGACTAATTTCTCTTTCTGAACATTTACAGTAGCTTGTGGCTGTTTTGGACCAGGACCAGGTGAGTGAACCGTCGGTCTCTCCACTGAATGTCATTGATCAGTTTAAACCAGTACATGCAGTAGGAGCAATCAGCTGAGAAATACAAAAATGCTACCCTTATCAACTGATGTCAGACACCCGTTGATGTTAAAACATGACTTTATCAGTTAATGACCTGAATCTCAACTCATAAAAGTACACAATCCCCTGGATACCACCTCTGAGTCCTGGGCAGCAGCCTCCAAAAACGTCCCCTGTTACCCTCCTGTTACGCCCAGATTACCCCCAGCTCTCATCTCCACTCCATTAACCTCTTTGAAGATCCTCCTGGAGCTCTTCCAATAAATTGTTCATTTTGGATCTCAATTTCCTTTGAGGGTGTGCCTTGTAGTTTGACTTGATGGCAAGCTTTTGAAATACCTAGAACTTACTGAATTGCATTTTAAGACAACATAACTAGTCTATATTTATAATTATTCTACTACAGTCAAAGCACTGGTGTTGAATATCTCCAAGGGTGTAAGGAGTACTCTCTGAAGGCGGTGGTCTTCATTGCTTGTGTAACAATGTAAAACAAAAATCCCTTCACAGGTGCAGAGAAATACATTATTTGGAGCAAAGAAGCAGAGGAGGAAGGCACATATGCATTGAAGGTAAAATAAGGTCTGTCTATTGAGCCTCACATGCCACTTATTTTTGTGCCCTTGTCATGAATTGGTGGGGCATACACAGGTTGTATGGCTCTGGTCTTTAACAAGAGTTGATATATATATAAAGTAGACTGTCACTTTCCAGGATCAGGGTGTGTGCATCTCCCTCCTTTAAGCTTGTACAGTTCAGGGTATTGTTGGCATTGCTGTGTGGGGAGAAAATATATAGGCATTTGGCATTGCTGCATAACACCTCAATCAGAGTAACTAAGACCACAATGGCTTCTCTGGCTTTAAAACTACTGGGATCCTTGTTGGTTCATTTGTGGTGTTGATACTGGAGCCAGACCTACAATCAGGGCTGTGAAGAAAGATTAATCATATACCGTTTTCTTTTTCACCACTAGAGGGCACACCTAATCTGTAAAAATTATATTGGTCTCAACAACGTTCTCAACTAATGGCAAGAGGAAATTTACACATAGGCCAATGTGATAGGCCTAATTTGTGGTTGGGAACTGTGTCCATTTCTGACTGGAAAAATTTGACAATTACATTTCTTAGTAACTTGAGAACTCTTTGATTTCCAGCTGAAAGTTACTACAAAGAATAGGCCCAATTGACAAAAATAACAAAATTATGTCATGCAACACTATACTTAGCTGTCCTGAACAAAGCATGGGTACCTCACATGCAAAACACGCACTAGTCCTGCTTTAAACATCATTTCTGGTCTATTTTTACTCCGTCAGACAGGATATTCACAGATGCTACTATTTCCATTGTGGTTCAAATAAACCTCTAGCTATCTGCTGGCACGAGCCTCTCGCTCCCCTGTAGGCCAGAGGCCTGCAACGGAAATAATGACATCAGCACCCACTGATGCAAATCAACCAGTTGATTCACTCATGCTGTGTTCAGTTTCTGGATACCCTCATAACATACTGTACCTTGGCTTTGTGGACACTTTCAACTGGAGACAACAAAATTCTCAATGTATCATCACTATGACCACTCAAACTAATGAGCAGAGGTGTGAAGTACTTAGGTAAAGATACTTTAAAGTACTACTTAAGTAGTTTTTTGGGGTCTCTGTACTTTACTTTATGTTTTATATTTTTCACAACTTTTACTTTTACTCCGCTACATTCCTAAAGAAAATAATGTACAGTTGAAGTCGGAAGTTTACATACACTTAGGTTGGAGTCATTAAAACTCACTCCACAAATTTCTTGTTAACAAACTATAGTTTTGGCAAGTCGGTTAGGACATCTACTTTGTGCATGACACAAGTAATTTTTCCAACAATTGTTTACAGACAGATTATTTCACTTCTAATTCACTGTATCACAATTCCAGTGGGTCGGAAGTTTACATACACTATGTTGACTGTGCCTTTAAACAGCTTGGAAAATTCCAGAAAATGATGTCATGGCTTTAGAAGCTTCTGATAGGCTAATTGACATCATTTGAGTCAATTGGAGGTGTACCTGTGGATGTATTTCAAGGCCTACCTTCAAACTCAGTGGCTCTTTGCTTGACATCATGGGAAAATCAAAAGAAATCAACCAAGACCTCAGAAATAAATAATGTAGACCTCCACAAGTCTGGTTCATCCTTGGGAGCAATTTCCAAACACCTGAAGGTACCACGTTCATCTGTACAAACAATAGTACGCAAGTATAAACACCATGGGACCACGCAGCCGTCATACTGCTCAGGAAGGAGACGCGTTCTGTCTCCAAGAGATGAACGTACCTTGGTGCAAAAAGTGCTAATCAATCCCAGAACAACAGCAAATGACCTTGTGAAAAGATGCTGGAGGAAACAGGTACAAAAGTATCTATATCCACAGTAAAACAAGTCCTATATCGACATAACCTGAAAGGCCGCTCAGCA